TTTATATTTATAATCTATTTAGAAAGACAGCACAAGCCGGGGAAGAACAGAGAAAGGAGGAGAGAGAGAGAATCCCAAGTAGGCTCCGCACTATCAGCACAGAGCCCAATGCGGGGCTGGAACCCATGAACCATGAGATCATGACCTGAGCTGAAATCAAGAGTCGGACACTTAACTGATTGAGCCACCCAGGCACCCCTAAGCTATTGACATTTATAAGTCATTTATGCTATATACCCACTTGAACTAAGTTCTAACAGCGAATCCATATGTAAACCTAAGTGTTCATAATCAGACATCTCTCTATTATAATGCTAATACAGTCACTTACCTTTTTATTCTTAGTCTTTTTCTTTTTCTTTGGTTTACTCTTAACCTGACAAGAAATAAATAATTTAATTAATATGCAATTCAAATCACACAATAAGTTATTTTGCAAAATATATTTCCTCTAACCACTGAAATCTTTCATCTTCTAATATTATAGATTATTATTCTATTATTCTCATTATTCTAGATTCTATAGAAAACTATTTTCAGTTTCACTCTTATTTTAATCTCAGTCTTCTGCTCTTGAGAGATCATTGATCTCTAAAGGAATAACATAATATCAATGAGGAGGCTACAGAAAAAAGCTCACAGATCCTCACTTGCACATGTGCGTGCATGCATGAGCAACAAAGGAGGAAGGGAGGGACTTTCAAAAAATCAACACATTCAAGTCCATAAGATGAAAAATTAAGCCCAGGAGTAATTTAGTGACCATATAAAATTAACATTAAAGAAATACAGAGATTACACCCTGCAGGACTTTAATTTTACTCCCATGCAAATGACACTGAAATATCACGTTTTTCTCTTTTCTCTCTTCTTTCCCCATTATGTTTTCTTCTACTTTCTACTAACTTCCCACTTCTATTGCCATCACTCAGGATGAAGAAACATTCAGAAATCTAGCATAGTGTCTGACACATAACAAGTGTTTGGTAAATGCTGACAAAATAAAGGTTAAGGCAGGAAAGATTTTTGGAAGAAGTACTGGAGAAAGAACCATTCCAATTCAAACTCTGTGTGAACACTGATAAATGTAAACTAAGATTGTCTAGGATGCTGTAAATACAGCACATGTAACAAAGTAAAAGCCCTGATTAAGTTCTTTTAATTTAAATATTAATGAGAGCTTATACTTCCTGGAGATCCTTAGTAGATTCTGTTGAAGATTCACTGGGTATCGATGCTCCATCTTTATTCATTTCTGCTAACTGTATTTCAGGGTTTGATTTCACATTTATATTGTACTCCATGAGAGGTGGACTTAGTTCTTCTTCCTCATTCTGTAACTCTTCTATTTCAATACCTAAATGTTAAAAAACACTCAAAATCAGGACGCATTTAGTTTTACCCTCATATCACTAAAAAACACCATCCCGGGAACAGAAAGACATCTTATTCTCTTTAATTACTAGGTGAAAATGAAATGCCCATTTATCAGTGACCAAATAGGTACTGATACTAGCCTAGAACCAATCAGTACAAACCCAAATGCTAAGATACTTTACTGTCATGTTAAGTAGACTCTAAATATTAGATATTGTACAACTTAAGTTGATTCTAAATACTAAGTCTTTTGAGGATCCTGACATTGACCCTATTAATACTTTACCTAGTAAAATTTTAGGATAGGGATATCTTTTTTTATTTTTAACTTAAATATTTTTATTGTTTAAGTATAATTTTACTTCAAACAAAACCCATGGTGTTGTTTTCTAAAGTATAATTTTAATCGCAGAATACGAATTGCATTTAAAGAACCACAGCACAAAAATGGAAATTAAAAAAATTAGCAACTCACCACCTGGCAAAAAGTATACAGCCTAACAGTGGATAGTTAATTAGATAAAAGCTACATAAGCTGAAGAGTAGCATATATGAGCAGGTAGAGCAAGCAGGTAGGCATTTTTGCCTGTTGAAGTGTCCAGTGTGTCAAAAGTTAATAAACTATGCTCGGGTAAATCCTGGAGACATGCATTAAGACCAAAGCGGAGGAAAAAGGCTCATACTACATTCAGCTGACCAGTAGTAGTTTGGTCACATGATTTTCCAAGCTTGTAACAAATAATAGTTTATCATATAGTTATCTGACCAAGTAAAATTCCTATAAGTATCCCTTAGCTATTCCAAGTTGAAAGGTCACCGAGGCAATTTGTTTCTAAACATACTTACGTTGACTGCCCGTTATTGACTGTAGAGCAATTCCTATGATACATAAAGAAAAAATTTAGATGTACAATTGGAAATAGAACCAACAAATATCTGACTGGGACTAAGAAAAGTTAGAAGATTTTTACATTGTACCAATTACTTTTATAACTGTAAAAACAACCAGTTTCACTCATAAATCTAGTTTAAACAAGGCATAATCTTTAAATTATAACATAAAGTTTATAAATTCATGTTTAGGCAAAGAAAACAAAACTTTGGTAGTTCATAATAGATAATGCCTAGAATATAAGCACTTTAAAACAAGCAGAAGATTCTTAAAATTTTAAAAATCTAAGGTCATAAAGTAACAATAGTCAATTATGAAGCAAACCTCCATTGAAAGTGTCAGGATGTTTTAGCAATATGAATTATCCTGATCAGCCCTCCCTCTCCCTTGTCCATTAATATTTATTAAGCATGTACAATGCATAAGGTTGTATTAAGCTCTAGATATTGAATGGTGAAGAAATAAGAACCTTCACAGTGATTCAGTGAGAACAATGGATATTAAACAAATGAAAACAACAACTGTAATAACTACTAGGAAAGAGAAGATGATAGGAAAGCCTCTATTAAATTAGGGACCAAAGCTTTTGGGTCTGAGTGGGAATTGCTTGAAATGCTTTGAATTTATTTAGTGCTTAAATATTTCCCAAATATTACCTTTATTCTCATTTGTTAATACAAATCTTAATGAAGTGAGGAGGCTACGTGGCACAGTTAAGTCTCTGACTCTTGATTTTGGCTCAGGTCATGATCTCGTGGTTGTGAGATCAAGCTCCGAATCAGGCTCTGCATTGGGAGTGGAGCCTGCTTGCGATTCTCCCTCTCTCCCTCCCTCTTTTCCCCCTCCCCTGCTCATGCTCTCTCAATAAATAAATAAATGAATAAACAATAAAGTATTCATAAAGTAAATGTAAAAAAAAGCCTCTTATTTTAAGTCAAGGGTTCTTGCATGACTTTCTCATATTATCGAAGTCAGCATTCTCTCCTCTTACACTCAGAGAAGGCTCTTAAAGGTTAAGCAGGAAAACATGACAGTATCCCAGGACCTTAGTAAAAGGAATGTTATTGAGGCCTAGCAATTATCAACAATAGTAGCTCAACAATTACAAGAACCCTGATAAGTTGTATGCTTACAAAGCATCAGTGTGGTCATCAGTTGCTCACTAGGTAGTACGACTAATAACTTGGGACCAGGAAAAGTCACCCGGGATAGCAAAGTAAAGGTTTCAGTGATGCTGACATGCCTTGAACTCCACTCCCCATGATGACAGGGAGAGGAGGTCTGAAGTCTTTCCCATATGAAGAGACAATGTCCTTCATGGACATTTGGACAATGGCTACTGCTGACCTTAGACATTACCTGATTTTTTAAATTACTCATAGGCATGGCCAATGAATAGTTGCCAAATTTTTCAATTAATTGTCATGGTTCTGCTGGAAAGGAGGAGAAAACATATACCCATGTTATCTAGAAGGCCATACTTGAAACATACAGTACCTGTATTTCATGGTTTTAGGCATCCTTAATTTTATAGTAGTGATAAAACTCCTTTAGTTAAAAATCTTCAACAATTCCTTTCTGAAAACAAAAACTCCTCAACATGGCCAGGGAAATCCTCTTGAATGTATTCTCTTTGTTACCTCTCCCCTATTTTGATCTCAGTAAGGCCAAACTTTTTAGTTCCCTGTATTACAACGTATTTTTATGTTTCTATACCTTTGTTCTTGTTTCCTTCTGAAACGTCCTTCTCCATCTTCTTCACTGGGCTAACTTTTACATGTCATTTAAGAATTCCTTAAATATTACACTCTCCAGAAAGCTTTTTTGGACTCTCAGGGTAGGATATCCCATGGTATTCTGGAACATCTCTAGTACTATAATTTTTAGTAGCTTCTTGATGAGTCTATCCTCCCAAGATGTGAGCTCACTGAATCTCCTGCCCTTAGCACTGTGTCTGGCACATGGCAGACATTTAGTGAAGGTTTACCAGCTGAAGTAAATAATTATTTTGTACCTTGTTGATAGCAGGATAACATCCTCTGGATGATTTCTGGTACTGGTATGCCTAGGTAGATGGACAGCTGATGGTAATCAAGGGAGATATTCTCAATGGGATTCTCCTTCACTTTGTCAATATCCTCTTGCTTCATCCCAAGACGCAGAAGAATATCTGAAACTTTTTTCCAAATTGAATTGAATTGTGACTCAGTGAGACCATTCATCAAAATCTCACTAAGGAGGATATCCCTGTGTTTGCACAGCCTCAAGATGTCGGCAGACTTAGAGAGATCAGAAGATGGTGGTTCCATATTCCAGCCTTTTTTGGGTGCAGGGAATACATTCAAATGTTTTATGAGAGCTAATAGGAGATATAAGTCAAACTGTTTGGACTGTGGTAGCTCCTTGTTTGGGGGATAAAGCAGATGCCATGCTCCACCCAAAGGGTGATTGGTCCAAAGATGGTTGTAGTAGGGTTCCAGCACATTCTTGTGTATAAGAAGTTCTTTTTTCAAAAGAGGGGGTGGCATAGCCTCATCAAATATTTGCCGGACAATGTCAGTACCAGAAATGATAATTATATGAAGCAGATGATAGAAATAATTATAATCAAGTTTGAAGATAGGCATTTCATCTGAAAATGAATTTTGAGAAGTCAAAACATTCCACATTAATGCTTTTTTTCTATGTGGTCTGTCTCATTACATCCTAAGCTCCTGTAGGACAGGGATGATTCCAAAACAATGAAATACAGTATAGTGCTTTGCCACAGCCAGTGCTCAATAAGCATGCTGCTTCTAGCTATCAAAAAAATCCCAACAAAAACAATATGTTCCCAAGCAAAAGTAATCACAAAGACTAATCACCACAGAAGCCTTTCAACCATCCAGGGTTTTGTTCAAGTAAATGACTTTGGCAACCAAATGGCATAAAACTTTAGGCCTTTGGAAATTCTGAAGACTTTCAAGAATGGTAACTGCCAGTGTTTAATTATATTTTATTCAGGCAACTTTATTTTAATCAGCACTGCCCAGTAGAACTTTCTGTGATAAAAATGTTTTAGATTTGTAGTGCCTACTAGCCACTGAAGACTGGAAATGCTGCTTTTCTAACAAATGAACTGAATTTGAAATTATATCCAAGTTTTATTAATTTAAATAGCTGCATATGGCTAGAGGCAACCATATCAGACAATACAGAACTATATCAAAAAACATAAAGTGATCTAATGCCTTGATATCCCAGTGTAATCCACAGACCAGCAGTGACATCCCCACGGGAGCCTGTTAGAAAGACAGAATCTTAGCAACCACCTCCCCCCACCCCACCCAGAGCTACTGAATTGGCACCTACATTTTAACAATGTATAACAGATGATTTGAATATACATTAAAGTTTAAGACACACTGGCCTGATGATGATATTCTTATCCTCTCAAAAGATAAATTAATGATTAAGTAGATAATTCATCAATGAAATGGAGTAAGGCATGAGAATGAACTATTTGAGATTTTTCTGGTTTAATAGCACTTCCAAAGGAGGAAAGTAGACTGAGGTGAATTTAAAGTAGTAAGAACTTGATATACGATGGTATACTTTTTGTATGAATATCAAAATATGTATTTATCATAAAATGTAGCTTTATTATTTTATCCTTCACGATTCTGTGTTTCAAGAAATTTAGAAACTAATATTCTTGTTTGATATACTTGACATATACCATGGAAGCAAGCAAGGTTACAAAGCAAATGACCCAGGGAACTTTCTCTGGGTAGCCTAGTAAGAAGCTGGCTGGGATCAAGGACACTCATTCCCTCTAGCAAGGACTGATATCAAACCATTCTTCCATGGGACTATGAGCCCTAAAAGCCTCTAAGTGGCATTGCTGACCAGCTGGCATTCCTAAACAGCTGGCACTTAAGTTTAGACTACTTGGCCTTGAGTCCCAAATTGTCATGCCTTCCATTTCGCTCTATTAACAGGGAATGCAACAAGAGAGGAGGGTTTGGTAGGGAACACCTGCTGGAGTCCAATCTCACTGTGTAGTCAACAGTTATACACCAGACCCAGCAAACTTCTCTATGATGCCAAGGTAATGTAAGACCCATACACCTGCTGATCTTTCCGTCCATGAATTTCAGCCCATGCCAAGTGATGCTTACTTAGTGTAAACATAAGCCCAGTGAATGACAAACATAAACACATGGTTGTCAGTGGTATGATACTGTACAGAGCAAGTCAAAACTTTTAATATACTTTTCAAGAGGAGACATATAAGAATAAAACAGTACCTTTTGCACTAAATTTTAAACTGATCTTCGGTCTTATATCAGTATCAGTAATTTTCAGAGACATCAACTTTTTATAACTGCAAGTAGAAAAAACTTAAGTTACAATTAATACCAAAGTTACTTAAGATTTCTGATATCAGCATGGCTAAGTAAGTGAATATTGTCCTCTCCTCCTCCTTTGGGAAAAATTTAAAAGCAAAGGAAAAAAGGGAATGAACAAACAAAACCCACCAACAAGGATAACCCCACACTGTCAATTTTGTTGGAGTTACCAGACAAATAGAACTGCTAAATCTCATACTAAAAAAAAAAAAAAAAAAAAAAAAAAAAAAAAAAAAAAAAAAAAAAAAAAAAAAAAGGCTGTGTGGCAACAGAAATATTGTAAAAAACCAGCAAAACTATAACTCCCCCCAGACCTTCCTCCAACATAAGATCTTATCAATCACTAATCCAAGAAGAAAACTCATGTAAGGACTAGTGATTTTTAAGAAAAGGCAACAAAGAAATTAGCATAACAGCAATACAAATAACCAAAAAAAAATGAGGGGTAAAAGTAGCAAAATTTATTAAACAGACTAAACACTAATGTTGTCATGAAAAACTTGAGACTTGGCACTGAGATAAACTCTCCCACAGAAAACAAAATAAAACAAAAATGGGGCAATACCAACCGAATGTTTTAAGTTTAATGAGGACAGAGATTTAGGTGTTGGAGGTTGTTAGAGGTGTTTTATCTCCAGCACCAAAACACTGCCCACCATACACTACAATGGAAACATTTAAACTCTAACAATATGAAGTACTGGCAAAGATACTGAATAAAAAATATTCTATACTGCTGGTGGGAGTGTAACCAGGTAAAACCACTGTGGGAAACAATTCAGCAAAATCTAGAAAAGTTGAAGATATGGTCAGATGGCCTACTGATTCTATTCCTAGGGATATATTCTGGGAAACGTTCTGTACATATACATCTGGGGACACATCCAGGCATGTTCATCATAGCACTGTTGTTATGGTCAGAATTCAGAAATAACCTGTATTTCTACCAGTGTAAACAGAAAAAAATTGAACTATACTTATAAATAACAATATATTATGGAATTTATATCCAGAAGTAAAACATGACAAAATGCACAAAGGTGGAATGATATGGAAACATTATTGTAAGGTTCATACAATACCTATACTATACATACAATAGTATAGTATTGGAAAATGAACTTTGACAAGTTAAAAACATATATTGTAAGTCTTAGAGCAATCATGAGAGAGAGAGGGTGAAAGACAGAAAGACAGAAAGAACAAACCCAGGAAATAAAACACAAGGAACAGATGGGAAAAACTGAAAACAACCAGGAAGATGGTAGATTTAAATCTGGCCATGTCAAGAACTACAGCAAATTTATATGGAATAAACACCCAAATTTAAAAGATAGGCATTGTCAGGTTGGATATAAAGAAGCAAGACCTATGCTGTCCATAAGAAACTCTCTTTAAATACAGACATATATAGGTTGAGGTAAAAAGATGCAAAAATATATATACCATGCAAATATTAATCCAAAGAAGACACAAAATGACTAATAGGTACATGAAAAGATGCTAACGTTAGTAATCATCCAGAAAATGCAAATCAAAACTACAATGAGAGATCATTTCACACTTGTTAGATTGTCTGTTACCGAAAACACAATAAGTGTTGGCCAGATATAGTGAAAAAGGAACCCTGTGCACTGCTGGTGGGAATGCAAAGTGATACAGCCACTAGGAGAAACAGTATGGAGGTTCCTCAAAAAATTAAAAGTAGGGGCACCCTGGTGGCTCAGACAGTTGAGCATCCAACTTTGGCTCAGGTCATGATCTCTTTCATGAGTTCCAGCTCCACATGCACAGAGCCTGGAGCCTGCTTGGGATTCTCTCTCTCCCTCTCTGTCTGCCCCTCCCTCACCTGAGCATGCTCCTTCCCCCCTCCCTCCTTCTCTCTTTCTCTCTCTCAAAAATAAACATTAAATGGGGTGCCTAGGTGGCTCAGTCAGTGTCCGACTTGGGCTCAGGTCATGATCTCACAGTTTGTGGGTTCAAGCCCCACATCAGACTCTGTGCTGACAGCTCGGTGCCTGGAGCCTGCTTCGGATTCTGTGTCTCCCTCTCTCTCTGCCCCTCCCCTGCTTGCACTTTGTCTTTCTCTCAAAAAATAAACATTAAAATAAATTAATAAATTAATTTTAAAAAATATTTTAAAAAATTAAAAATACAATTAATCCAGCAACCCCACTTTTGGGTATATACTGTATACCCAAAGGATATGAAATCTCTATCTTGAAGAGATATCTACATGTCCATGTTCACTGCAGTATTATTTACAATAGCCAGGACATGAAAACAACTAAATGTCTATAAGTAGATGCATGGATAAACAAAATATGATTTTTATACACACACACACACACACACACACACACATGCACTAGAACACTATTTAGCCATAAAAAAAAGGAAATCCTGCCATTTGTGACCACATGGGTGAACCTGGAGAGCATTATACTAAGTGAAGTAAGCCAGACGGAGAAAGACAAATACTGTATGATCCCACATAAATGTAGGAGCTAAAAAACCCCAAACTCACAAAAACAGAAAGTGGAATGGTGGTTGCCAAGGATAAGGGTGTGGGGAAAATGAATAAGGGGTCAAATTCTAGTGTAGAGCATGGTGACTACAGGTAATATTTTTTGTATACTCGAAAGTTGCTAAGAAACATCTTCAAAGTTCTCATCACACACACACAAGAAAAAAGTTAACATATTCATCACCTCATACAGTTAATTAACCTTACTGTGGGAATCTTTTTATAATACATACATAAATCAAATCATCACTTTCTATACCTTAAACTTATACAATGTTCTATGTCAGTTATATCTTTTAAAAGCTAAGAAGAAAATAGCAGCAATATAGAAAAAAATAAATAGATCACGAACAACTATTCTTTACCCCAGGAAAATAAGGCTGATTCAGCATGTGAAAATACATTAATGTATTCAGCATATTAACAGATTAAAGAATAAGAAGAAAACCATATGATCATCTCAATGCATGCAGAGAAGCACTAATTCAATACTCATTCATGATAAAAAAAATTGAAGAGAACTAGGAAAACAAAAGAATTTATTCAACCAGAAAAAGGGCAACTACAGTTGATAGCTAACAACACACTAAATGGAGAAAAACTGAAGTCTTCTCCCTAAGATCTAGAAAAGGCAACGATGTCTACTCTCACCACTTGTATTTAGCATTGTACCAGAGGACCTAGCCAGTGCAGTAAGAGAAATAAGCAAAAAGTATATAAACTGGAAAAAAGAAATAGAGTTGTTTTTAGCCACAAATGACATGATCATCTGTTGAAAACCTCAAAGAATCTATAAGATGATATTAGAATTATTAAATACCAAGTCACAGGATACATGTCCATTATATACAAACCAATTCCACATAATACAAATAACTAGAAGTTAAAATTTCAAAAGTATTATTTGCAACAGCATAAAAAAACAAATACACAGAAAACTACAAACATTCCTGTGAGACATCAAAGAAGTTATAATTAAATGTAATTACACTCCACATTCATGGATAGGAAGCCTCAATACTGTTAAGACACAAATCATCCCCAAACTGGGCTACAGATTCAACATAATCCCAATCATAATCCCAGCAAAAAGTTTGCAAACATTATAAGATGTTTCTTAGCTTTAATAAAGAATAGCAAAGGATCTAGAACAGAAAAAAGTAGTTTTGAGAAATAAGAATAAAGTTGAAATCACACCACCTAATTTCAAAAGATAATAAAAAGCTATAGTATTGAAGACAGTATGGTATTGTTAAATGGACAAATATACAAATGAATGGAATACAAAAATGACTATATATAGTCTATAGATTTTAGATAGACAGATAGATATGGATGGGATAGAGTGAACCTTGACCCTTATGTCATACCACATGCAAAAATTAACTTGAAATGGATTATAAATCCGGGGCACCTGGGTGGCTCAGTTGGATAAGTGTCCAACTCTTGATTTTAGCTCACAGTTTGTGAGTTCAAGCCCTATGTCAGGCTCCTAGCTGAAAGCACAGAGCTTCTCTCTCTCCCTCACTCTCTGCCCCTCCCCACCTCTCAAAAATGAATAAATTTTTAAAAAAGAAGTGGATTATAAATCTAAATATAAAACTGTTTTTAGTTTTATTAAAAAACTGTTAGAAAAAATATAGGAGAAAATCTTTGTGATTTTGGGGCAGAAAAAATTTTCTTAAAACACAGAAAGCATTAAGCATAAAAGAAATGTTAAGACTTCACTGAAATTAATTAATTTTTGATTTTTGAAAGATACCTTTTAGAAAATAAAAAAGCAAGTCATGGCCTGGGATAAAATATTTCAAAAATACATATTAGGTAATTTGTACCTGGAATACACAAAGAAATTTTATAACTCAAAGATAAACAATCCAATGTAAAAATGGGCAAAAAATTAGAATAGACAATTCATCAAAGAGGATATATAGGTGAAATAACACATGTATAAACATGTGGAAAGATATTCAACTTCATTAGTCATTAGGCAAATGCAAATTAAAACCACAATATACTATTAGACACCTGCAGAGAAACTAGAACTCTCCTCCACTGTTGGTGAGAATGAAAATGTATAGCTACTTTGAAAACCATTTGGCAGTATTTTATAATATTAAACATATACCATAAGACTCATCACTCTTGCTCCTAGGAATTTACACAAGAGAAAGGAAAGCATACGTCTATACAAAAAGTATGTAAGTGAAATTTATAGTAGCTTTAATCATAATAGCCCAAGCCAGAAACAACTCAAATGTCCTCAACTGTTGAATGAATAAATAAGTTGTGGTACATTTATACAATGGAAGACTACTTAGCAATAAACAAAAATAAACTAGTGTTGGGGTACCTGGGTGGCTCAGTCAGTTAAGTGTCCGTCTTTAGCTCAGTCATGATCTCATGGTTTGTGGGTTTGAGCCCTGTGTTGGGCTCTGTGCTGACAGCTCAGAGCCTGGAACCTACTTTGAACTCTGTGTCTCCCTCTCTCTCTGCCCCTCTCTGGTTCGTTCATTCATTCGTTCTCTCTCTCTCTCTCAAAAATGAATAAACATTTTAATAAAAAAAAAAAAAACTAGTGATACATGCAATAACATGGATGAATCTCAAAAACATTATGCTAAGTGAAAAAGTTCAAATGCAAAAGGCTTCCCTATTAAAGGACAGTCAGTAAAAAGCAGTACCATCAGGACAGAAATCACATGAGTGGTTACCAGCGTCTAGAGGTTGGGCAAGGGGAATGACTACAAAAGAGATTTGGGGGGGAACTTTTTGGGAAGATAAAAATATTCTGTATCTTGATCATGGTAGTGGTTACCCAAATGTATACAAAGAAACTCATTTAAATGTATATTTCTAAAGAGTGGATTTAACTGTATATAAACTACAGCTTGAAAAAACTGACCTAAAAGAAAGAACTTCAGTGTTTAGAAATGCATTTATAATTGGCACTTTCATAAAAAAGAGCAAGGAAATGATTACTGTGAAGGTCAGGATAGGTTACCTAGGGAGAAGATGAGGAGTCAGGGAGAGAGGGCCCAAGTGAGTGCTTCTGGAGTACGGGCAAAATCCCATCTTGTGTAGGGCTATGAGAGTGTTTGCTTTATAATATTCCTTAAACTCTGCATTTATATTTTGTGAGCCTTTCTTTATACTTTAATAACCATAAAACATTTTAAAGTTTAAAAAAGAATGATTCTGTTATTCATTCGTAAAACTCCATAAAGTAGCTCTTCCAATTTTGGTATTGTGATCAAGTTACCAGAGGATTCTCCCACAGATAACAACTAAAAAAACCTGGGCAAATTACAAAAAGTACTCCCTGTGGCACTGGATAGTAGAAGTAAAAGACCAACTCTGCTGAGAGAGTACGTGCTCAGAGGAGAGGAGGTAAGGGCTGGGTGAAATGTTAGTAAATTCACCAATCCTAGAGCTTTTAACCTGGGGCTAACTATACCCTGGCAGAAAACAAGTCTCCTAGGCTGTAGGAACCAGAAAATTGAAGCCAGGGAACCATGGCTATTGAAGAGAGTGGGGGAATCCCAGAAGAGAAAGAGATCCCCAAATATTTCTGCCCACACCTCTGACTGCTGAACCACATGTTTGGAACAGACTCAAAGCAGCTCAGGTGAAGGCAAAAGAACTCAATGGAGACTGGAACCACTACCTGCCTCCCCCCAAAAAGAGTTCACAGTCCATATACAAGTTAATTGACTGTCAAAACAAAAGTACATTACCTATTGCAGAATAACGGAATTCGGAACCTCTACATCTGTCATGTATTCATTGGGTACCAGCTATATGTCAGGTACCCATGTGCCATTACGCTATGCACTAGAAATATGCTAGTAAGCAAGATAAAGTTCTTGCCTTCAGTGAGGTTATAGTCAAATGGAGAAGACAGACAAGAAAGTATAATAAAACTTAGTACATAGAGTTGACCTTTGAATTGAACATGGGTTCAAACTTCTATATGGATCTTTTTCATACAATGCAGTACTGTAAATGTATTTTCTCTTTCTTACGATTTTCTTAATAACATTTTCTTTTCTCTAGCTTAGAAATTTCAATATACTGCTCTGTAACTTTTTTTAAATCCAGTCAATTCAGTATATAAAACATATACAAAATATGTGTTAATTGCCTATTTAAGCTATCAGTAAGTCTTCCAGTCAAAAACAGGCTATTAGTAGCCTGTTAAGTTTTGGGGGAGTCAAAAGTTACATGAAAATTTTTGGCTGACGGTGGGGGTGGGGTTGGTACTTCTAGCCCCTATGCTGTTCAAGGGTCAATATTAAATTTTTTGATATGAGTAAAGGGAACACGTGATAGAAACACCTAATGTCTAATGTCTTTCCAAAACTTTTAACCAGGCAAAACCAAAGGAGTAGAGTATTCCAAGCAAGGCCTGAAGGTAAAATAGATGGTATACTCAAGAACTAAAAGAAGCTCGGTATACTTGGTGCATATACACTAAGAAAAGAATGACAAGAAATGACACTAGTGAGTGCAGCAGGGACGAAGTGTCTGAAAAGTCAACCTAAGAAGTCTGAACTAAATTAAGAGCAATGAGAAGCCTCTGAAAGATTAATTTTAAACAGAGAAGTGATAGAGTTCAATTTTCATTTTTGATAAGTATTCTTGATGGCTATGTAAACAACCGACTGAAGGAAGGTAAGGCTAGGGACAAAAAGACCAGTTTAGAAGCCGTTTCAGAATTCCAAGTGAGAAATAATAATGTTATTTAGTTTAGTGCAAATGTAGGGGTGGAAGTAAGGAGGCATTTACAATATTTTTAAGAAGCTGAATTGAAGGACTTAAAAATTACAGAGCAGTGCTGGGAAGGAAGATTCTAAGTCCAGTTATGGACATGCTGAACTACAGTTATTTCTGGAAATAAAAGTGGAGCTTTTTGAGGGTGCCTGGGTGGCTTAGTCGCTCAAGCATCTGATTCTTGATTTTGGTTCAGGTCATGATCTCACAGTTTGTGAGTTTGAGTCCCGCATCAGGCTTCATTCACGCTGGCAGTGTGGAGCCTGCTTGGGATTCTCTCTCCACTCTCTTTCTCTCAAAATAAACTTTAAAAAAAAATTAAAAAATAAAACTAAAAGTGGAGCTATTTAGTATGCCAGTGGATAGATCTAATTTTAGGAGTGGAACCTATGCCAGAGATAAAGACTTGGGTTTCATTATCTTATAAAGGAAAACTGATGCCTTAGATATCAAAGCCATATTCCTGGTAGTCTGAAAAATGGTAGACGTTTACACTTTCAACAGAAGAAAACAGAATCAATGAATTAGGAGAACTTTTTCTATCGAAATTTCTAATTTTAATAGCAATAATGCTCTCTACCTCTATGAGTTCCCAACTAACACTAGATCTTCCTCTGCATTACAGTTTTCTCATCCAAGAAATAAGATGATTCTAATCATTCCAGCAAGCTTGGAGGCCTGGATAAGTTTTGAAAGCTAGGAGAAAGTTTTTACATCATAACAACTTAATTTAAATGACTTTGTTTTGTTTTCAGGAAAAGATTATCTTTATACCTAGAGGAAAAGCATTCACATAATTAACCCTTACTTGCTTTAGAATTTAATTGTCTACAGCATAGGGAGAGAGGAGAAGACAAACGTCAATCAAATTCAATTTTTTTCATACAACTAATACTCTTTTAAACTTAATAGAGCTCCAAAAAAGAAATTAATCCACAAACTTAATGGAGCTCCAACAATGGACAGAAATAGAAAAAAAGCAGCAACTGAAAAATATGTACATGCTCAGGAAAAAGAAGAGTTTATTTCAAGCTTACCTTGCTCCTAAATTTTCAATGGTTATATATTCATCCTTTCTCACAACTTCAAACTGCAAGTGATGGAAAAAGAAAAAAATAGCCCTAAAGTAGTTCAATTTTCAAAATTCTTTAATGTTACTTCTTAGCCTTACCATTTGAAAAAAGACAATGAGAATGAAGCTAAACAGACTTTAAAACAAGTAAAACAGAAGTAACAAGGTGAACCATACGCAATCCTAATCAAACAACAAACGAGTGGATCTTAAAAAGCAGTCCAACTTTATATCAGTATAGGATTTAAATGCCAAATCTAAAACACACAAAAATATATATGCAAAAAAAGAAATAATACATATTTATCATTTTGGTCCATTAGCTTATAAACTGAAGATGTGACAAGATACTTCCTTAATTAGAAAAAATTAAGTAGATACAATTTGACTACATTGTATGTAATAGGAACAATATGTGATGTTCTACAGATATTTTCATGGGAAAATGTTTACAAACTAAAAAAAGTTCAGAAAGTCTAAAATTATTTTAATCTTAGGTGGCATAGAATTAGATTATCATCTTTGATTTATGACAGACTTTCCCTCTTGGTACAGTCATTGCCTGCTTTGTTTCCCTCCCTCCCTCCCCCTGTGTGCATCTTTATTTTTAAATATTTTTGTTGTTCTTAAGGTCCAAATCTATTGCTTTGGAGAAATCAAAGCAATAGAAAGGTCAGGGAGCTTGTCATCATCAAAAGAAAAAATATGACTAGAATACTATTATGATTCCCAAGTCTGTTTGCAATAAAAAATATCATTTCAGTGAAGGGAAGAAAAATAAGAAAAAAGATACTTACCAAAATTTTAACAATTCCAGGTACATCACATTGTAGCATCCTTACCATGTCACCTGTACATCCTTCCTTCAAACATTTTCTCCCACTAAAACTCTAAAGTTATCAATAGAAAAAACAATAAATTATTAACAGAAAAAATACAAATAAAAATTTAAAAAATCACTAATGTACAAAATTGATTAAAGTTCAATGCAGATGTTGCTAGATGATAAAAGATGTGAACAAACACTGGAGAGTTAGCTGTTTAAAGAGAGTCCATAGGGCACGTGGGTGGCTTAGTAGGTTGGGCATCTGGCTTTTGGTATCTGCTCAGGGCTTGATCTCATGGTTCATGGGTTCGAGCCCCACATCAGGTTCCATGCTGACAGTGCAGGGTGGGATTCCCTCTCCATCTCTGCCCCTCTCCCACTCACACTGTCTCTCTCTCTCAAATAAATAAAAACTTTAAAAAAATAAAGATAGGGGCGCCTGGGTGGCGCAGTCGGTTAAGCGTCCGACTTCAGCCAGGTCACGATCTCGCGGTCCGTGAGTTCGAGCCCCGCGTCAGGCTCTGGGCTGATGGCTCAGAGCCTGGAGCCTGTTTCCGATTCTGTGTCTCCTTCTCTCTCTGCCCCTCCCCCGTTCATGCTCTGTCTCTCTCTGTCCCAAAAATAAATAAACGTTGAAAAAAAAAAAATTAAAAAAAAAAAAATAATAAAGATAGTCCAATTTGTGTATTAATTGATTTCCTATTTAAAATGCATGATCACACTTTTCTCTCTCATCATTTCTACTTCAAAATCTTCAAGCAGCTATATTACAGCCTAAAATGTATTTGCTGCCCCACAGGGAAAGCAACTTCAAGTAAAATGTACTGATTAAACAAGTATAAAAAGGAATACTGAATTTTTATCAGATATATGAGGATTCCAGGGAAAGGAATAAAAATGTTGAGTCCTTTCTCTGGCTCTGACCTTACTATTTCCCTTGGTTAAGTTACTTAGTGTTCTTTTACTTCTCTTTCTTGAAGTTGAGCTATATTGATTGCCCTAACAATCAAAGAAGGTGAAAATTATTCACATGTTGCTTTAAATAAATAAATAAATAAGCATAAAACTTCATACAATGATGTTTAGTGTACAATGCAAGTTCATATTTTTTTTATCTGTCAATCCTCACAACAATCTTAAGAGGTAGGTATTACTATTCTCACTTCAAATGGTTTAGAAAACTGAGTCTGAGAGTCGTTAAATCACCAGCCTAATGAAAAAAAAATAGTAGTGGCTCAATCTGCACATGAACCCAGATCACTCAACACCATATACAATATTCTTTCTACTATACCACAATTCCTTTATAAGGGGTTTTCTGCTGTTTGCACAATATAGACACTCTAGAATGAAACAATATAGACCCAACCTATGGCCAATAGTTCACTAAAGAGTAACCAATATAGAACTGAGCTTTGGAATTCTACTTTCTTAAGAATTTAATTTAATTATATTAGCTTAGGTAAATAGAAATAATACAGATAGGGGTGCTCAGTTGGTTGAGCATCCAACTCTTGATTTCGGCTCAGGTCATGGGATCAAGCCCACATCAGGCTCTGTGCTGACCATGGCGCCTGTTTGAGATTCTCTTTTCTCTCTCCCTCTGCCCCCTTCCCCCACTTGTGCTCTCTATAAATAAACAAATAAACAAATAAATAAATAATTGAAGACTATAACATTTATTATTGTCCCCCGCTCCTTAAGATAGAAACTATCCTTAAAATTGTATGTACCCTTTCCTTTTTTTTGGTTTACCAAATATATATATCCTTTGAATCTATGTTCTTTACGTGAATACACGCAACAATATTTCTATTTTTAGGACTGTAAACTTCTAAAAGGAAGGAAACAAACTGATAAAAATCACTAAACAAAGCAACTAGCAGAGTATCCCCAACACAGACGTGTTTAATAAATGGTGATAATGAACAAAGAATAATGAGGAAAAAAGCATGAGACAATAGGCAAAGAAAAATAGAGGGGAAAGAAAAAGGAGAGAAGGATATGAACAGGAAGAAATGAAGAGAAATGGATAAAGGAAGAAATGCTGTGAAGCTTTGAAGGAAAAACAAATACCTGGTCATTTTCACCTGGATATTTTAAATTTTTGAACTTTTTCCAACAAATTTTATGGAAATAAACACAGCAGCTTTTACTGCACATTAACTGAAAAAATCCCTGGAAAAGATAAAAGTAAGCAGTTGACATGAAAATAGTAGTTCATACAGATATAGAAAATACTACCATAAGTCTCATTCATTCATTTCATTCATTCATTTATTTATTTATACATGAATACCTTAAGTCACTTTCAAAACTATTCTATAACTAAATGAATTTTACATGGCATTCAAAATTTATCAACAGATCACTGGTCATCGAAGAACTTTATAGGTCATTTTTCATAGATCCATTTTCCCATCACTAAAGACAGTGCATTAGGATAGAAAGAAAAGGCAATTTGAAGAAGTCAATGTAATCATCTTCCATATACCGCATACAACAAAATATCCAAAATTTGATGTGTGATCTTTTCAGAGGAACATGCTCTCTGCCCCTCTTCTTCACCTCCATTTTTACATTTCTCTTTTCCTCCAGCCCCAATTTCATACCATTTTCTCCTGCATCTCTGCTAATAATCACCAGACCTGATTTGTTCTCTTAGTGATAGCTACTGCATTATCCCAGTGTTTAAATTTCTTGTCCTTCCCAGTGTGAGCTCCCTGGGAACTACAGCCCTGCATCCTTTAAATAGGTAAGCTACATGAATGGCATAAATTTTTTGGCCAGGAGGTTCTGCTGCTACATGCTGTCCATGTGATTGGAACCCTGGAAGCCTCCCTGGCAAACCTTAGATTTTTATCACCATATCACCTAAACCAAGACCAACTTGCCCCACGTTGAGCACTCCACTTCCCCAGGTCCACTTCCCAAAACCTGTGTTACTCTAATGAATAGATCTTGGATTTCTCCCCCATCACTCGCTGTATACATCATGCCTTGCCACTGGATTTCCACTATATGACAGAGGTGGTGTCAGGGTGGCACTGACGGTCACATCTCATCCTATCTTGTGATTTCCCACAGCCTCATTCTGATATATCCAGAGAGAACTAGATTTGAAGTACTTTGTTAAATTTCTTCAAATCCAGGTTGGTTTCATTTTGTTTGACCAAGACCCATACAACAGATAATGATCGCTTACTTAGTAACATAATTCTTGAGGAGTAACAACCTTTCTCCTTAGTAAAATGCTAATATTTTCAACCTATAACATTTCTAACTATAAAGAATATTTCACATATTTTTCATGTATGATTACAGGCATTTGAATATTACAAAATCCTTAGCAAAATCGATTATTTTTTTATTGATTCACAGGATTTAAATAATTCCTGCTCACTATGAATCTAAGTACTCAGAGATATTCAACTTCTTAACTGCATGAATTACTACTGTAATTAAACTAAGTACTCTTTTTAAACAATATTTTGATGCATGATAAAAATAATTATCAAAGTTTAATTTTTAATTATATTAATTTAAAATCAGTTAATAATTATATTACCTTGTAATTGGTGTTCTTTAAAATGTCAGCTTCACAAGATCGCTCACAATCTAGATAACTGCAAATGGTCTGCTTCATTATATTACTTTCAGTTGTCTTGATAAAATCATTAAGAAGATCCTAGATTAAAAGGTTTTTTTAATTTTATGAATTATTAGTAACAAGACTGCAACACTTCCAATATTTTACCTTAAATAATATGTCCATTTTATTATCTCCCTTTTTGAAGGCATTGTATGTTTTCTTAAAAAACAGTATAGAACATATTTCCCTCATTCAAAGTAAACAATACATGAGAAGGCCCTAAATTAGAAATACTGGGTTTTTTACTGAACATAAACATGGAGAAAGGAAAAAGTCTTTATTTGAGTCTATACCTCTGTTCACCATCCTAACTCATGGCATGACACCCAGCATGTTCCTGTTAAAAATTACTTGCTCTGATATACATACAGAGAGACAACAAACAAATCACTGGGAGCCCAGGAGGGTCTGCTAGAACTGGTCTCCAGAACACCATATTGGTAGTGGGACTCCTGGAGTGGTGCAATATGCTGCTCGCTGCCATTATGGGCAGAAGTAGCGTACAGAAATATGCTTCCAATGTTGAGTTACAACTTGGAATGAAATTTCCTATTTTATTTATTTATTTATTTATTTATTTATTTAACGTTTATTTATTTTTTTGGGACAGAGAGAGACAGAGCATTAATGGGGGAGGGGCAGAGAGAGAGGGAGACACAGAATCAGAAACAGGCTCCAGGCTCTGAGCCATCAGCCCAGAGCCCGACGCGGGGCTCGAACTCACGGACCGCGAGATCGTGACCTGGCTGAAGTCGGACGCTTAACCGACTGCGCCACCCAGGCGCCCCATGAAATTTCCTATTTTAAAAATGCTGATTAAATGTAGATGAAACACATTTCCAGGTCTATGTTAAAGAGGTCCTTTCACCAGGTCCTTAATCCTTATCCCTTAGAGAGACAGTATTACAAGATTTCAAATAGCAGTATTTCTAATATACTGAGAGTATACAACATGACTAATAAGCTTCTATAGACTATTTGATAAATCTAGTCACCATAACATTCTTTTGATGCCATTCAGAATTTTAAATTGATGGCTGATATTGAATAATAAGGATATTTTGACCAAATTAACTAAAACATTTTAGTATCAAGAAGAGAGAGAAAGAAATGAGAGGCGTTTAAGGACCTTTCAGTATGAGGGTAGTATATCCTGTCAGCATAGCCAATGGCCAAATGGAAATGCTAAAAACAACAACAGCAGCAACAAAGGACTCACAGAAAATATATAACTACTGCAGTTTCACAGATCTTAAACTTAGTACTTCAATATTGATCTACTGATACTCCCACCAAATATATGCCACACATGCCTATAGGCATATATACATACGGATATACGCAGCTAGCTACAGGGGTGTGTATCTCTGTGTTTTCCATCTTCTCTACGCCAGCCCCTTGCCTTCTTTAGAACACTAACTACAATTTGTAACTATTTTATTAGGTTTTTTTCCCTTTTTAATCCTTTTGTTCCTTATTCTTTATTCCTTATCTCTTGCCTCCCATCTTAGGCATTCATTCATTCAACATATTTACAAAATGCCTGTTTTAAGCCAGCTTGCTATGGAAGTTATGTATGTTAATGGTAACAGTAGTAAACTTAGCAGGCTAAGACTTAGCCCTCATAGGACTCACATCAATGTCATCTACCACTATCTATTCAGCTTCAAGCCAGAAATCTTGAACTCAGCCACTGCATAATAGATTCCATCACCTTTTGCATGTAATATATCAACAAGTAACTACTGAGTCTTCTTCCAAAATACATTGCAAATTTTTCCATTTCTATCTCCATTTTTACCACTGGAGCTGCCTAACAGTTAGGCAGCTGTTACCTAGATTATTAACTGTAACAGCTGCCTAACTGCCCCCCTCTTCCCCACCTACTCTGCTCCAAGGTACTCTCTACACAGAAGCAAAAGATGTCAGTTACTTGCTTAAAACTCATCAACGGCTTCCCACTGTACCTAAAACAAAGTGGGGAACCCTTACCAAGGACTGCAAGGTTCTGCAGAACGTGCTGCTGAACCCAGTATATCTAGCCATCTCTTGAAATTCATCTCTAGCCTTGCTCATTATAAAATTTACAGTTTTATCTTTTTCAGTTCCTCAGACTTGCTTGTGAAAGCCACACTATATTCCATTTACCTAGAATTGTTCTTCCCCCAGTCTTCACAGAGCTAGTTCTAGTCTCAATCTGCTGGTTCCAACTTGAGTATCACCTCCCAGAGAGGCCACATATACATACGCATATATACGTACAAATATAGATACATACAGTATACAAGTGTATATGTGCGTGTTCTCCATCTTCTCATTTTATTATAATTTGATTATATCATTCTACTGTTTAAAAGTCTTCAGGGGTTTCACATTAAACTCAAGATAGGGTCTGAACCCCATACTTGGCTTATTAAGGCCTTCCATGATGTGGCTGACATTTACCTCTGTTATATTATGCATTTACGAAACAAGAACAGATGGTCATTTAAAAAAAACCAAAGAACATAATACGTAACAACAACAAAAACTCTTAGTAGATAATAGCTGAAATAGTCATTGAAATTAAAATTTCAACACAAGGATAGGAACAATGGTAATGTTAAAAAATAACAAGCATTTCAAAGGACACCACCCTGGCTAGGGTGCCAGCATCTCTAAGGGTGCTATATTGCCCCACCAGGATGAGTTTATCTAAGGGGATATATGAGGACGGGAACAACTGGGGCAGGGAAGGCCTCTGGTGGAACTCACCCAGGATAAAGGGGTACAGATCGCCCTCTAATTGCCCTAAAAAGAAACTAATCATAATGTCTGAGAAGCAAGATTTTCAGTGGGTTGCCAGGCATCAATCTTAACAAATTAAGAACATGCTGGCCTACAGCCAGAACAGGGTCATTGAAGCATTCTGCTCTGTCAGACATTAAACCTTTATTGGATTTTAAAGAAGTAAGGGAGTGAGGGCTGGTAGAAAGTCCAAAGCAGCTGGAATGGTGGCTGGGTGCCCAAAAAACTCATGGCAGCAAATATTTTTGGAAGCTGTATATAAATATTTTAACATTATAATAACTAATATAATAGCACTAGTGTGCACTGGCTGAATATCAGCCCTACACAGAAAGCTAAAGCTGAGGAAAATATCCTAGAAAATAGTACAAAAAAATAAAATGTAAGAAATAAGGAAAAAAATAATAAAATCAGAGATTCAGTTCAGGATGTCAAGTATCTGAATAATAAACATTTCAGAAAGAAAAAATGGAAATGAAGAAATTATCAAATAAGTAAATTTTTAGAATGTACCAGAACATTTTCAAAATATAATCTCAGAACACTAGAGAACACAGAATATCCTAAAAATTCCCAGAAAGAAAAAAACAAAACAGGTTACCAGCAAAAGATTGAGAATCAGAGCATCAGATTTCTGAAAAGTACTATTGGAAGCAAAGAAGGTAACAGAAACACACTGAAAATATAAAGGAAAATAATTTGCACCCTACAATTGGATGCCCAGGCAAGATACAAATAAAGTGTACAAAAAAGAAATTATTTCGAAGACTTGAAAGATCTCAAAAAATTTACCTCCCAATCAAGTACCCTTTTCTAGGAAGCTGCTGAAGGAGCTGTACCACCAAAACAAGGGAGTAAACCTAAAATGAAAGCTTGAGATCAAAGAAACAGACGATTCTACATAGAAGTGAAGGATATTCCAAGGAATAAAAGATAAACCTAAGGCACATTTAATAAAAACATATGACTGACTATTGGTAGGATGGGGAAAGGGAAATGTATGTGTAAAGGGGAGGTATAAGAACTAATAAACCCTCCTCATCTGCCATCATGGGTAGTCAAAGATAATATCTACCATGGAGAAATATTCAAAAAGCAGCACATCTTTTCAAAAAATATAGGTAAATATCAAAGAAAAATGTCTAGAGAGTTGGAAGAAGGTTTCTCTAGTTAGGAACTACAATTAAAGCTGATGTACCACAGACTGTTAATGTTTAAGTCTTCTAATGTTTGACAAACTACATACATGTATTATTTTGCATGAAATAAAAAAATTCACTAAAAAAAGTTTGAATAACAAAAAATATTTTAAAAGGAGGAGGAAAAAGAGAAAAGTAAGACCAAGTAGGGCCTGCTTTAGGCAAGCAGTGAAGTTCAATGTTAAAAATAATATATAAAATCATTACTAAGTCTAGGTTTAAGGTCATGTGATTATCCTGATAAATGCCAAAAACTGCTTATTCTATTGATTACTGTGAGAGCTACACTAAAATAGTACTCTGAGAGTGGAGAGTTTTCTATCTCTCCTTCTAGTTATATTAGCTTTTGTCCCATACATCTCGAGGCTCTATTATTAGCTATATACAATTTGACCTATTTGAGGAATGCATTTGGCTTTAAAGTCAGCCCAAACATAAAGATCCTGAAAGGTTTAAAGTAAAAGTCTGAAAAGATGTATGTCATTCAAACACTAACCAAAAGAAACTCAGTGTAGCTATTTTCATATTAAACAAATTAAAAAGTGACTGTAATATGACTTAAAAGATGGATGAAAGTTACCCCAAAAGTAAAGAATACCCAGAAAGTATGAGGAAATGGAAACCCTCATACTTTGCCTTAAGAATACAAACTGGTACAAACTTTCTAAGAGGATATATGAAGACAAATACCAACATGTTTACAACTGTTTTAAAGACTTCACAATTCCACCTTTAGAAATGTGTCCTATGGGAATTACGTGGGACATGCACAAAGATGACTTTACATAATAATGAAAAACTGGAATGTTTAGGATAAACTGAATATTCAACAGCAGGAAACTGGTTATGCAAATTAAAGCATAATTTTATGATGAACCATGAAAACAAATCATACTGTAGAATAATCTAATTACTGGGAAACTCAGAGTATATATTTCTAAACTATATATCAATGTATATAACATACCAATTTACTAAAAATAAAGGGTACAAGTGTTTATACATGTGTGTCTGGAAAAACATAAATAAAAATACTAGTATTAGTTTCTCCTTTTGAGGAAACATGGATAAATTTTATCTTTCAGTACTTAAACATTTTTCAAATTTTCTGAAATAATTTTTTTTAAGTTTTCTTAGTACTTTTTAAATTTAAATCAACAACAAAATAACAGTAAGTATAATTAGAAAAAAAAGTAAGTTGGGGCGCCTGGGTGGCGCAGTCGGTTGGGCGTCCGACTTCAGCCAGGTCACGATCTCGCGGTCCGTGAGTTCGAGCCCCGCGTCGGGCTCTGGGCTGATGGCTCAGAGCCTGGAGCCTGTTTCCGATTCTATGTCTCCCTCTCTCTGCCCCTCCCCTGTTCATGCTCTGTCTCTCTCTGTCCCAAAGATAAATAAACGTTGAAAAAAAAAAAAAAATTTAAAAAAGAAAAAAAAGTAAGTTAATTAACTACCACATTTAGCTATAGCCCCATGAAGTACCAGACCTGCATAGCTTTTAATCTTCTTGTTTCTAAATAACAAATCTTATTTGCTAACACAGCTACCTCACTTCTGTGTTGAATCATACATTCTGCACAAAGTAATGGGATTAATGTTGTTTCTTATACAAAAAGCTAATTTCCAATAAAAGAACATGCTGCTATAGAATACGACAAAATTAGCACAGACCACACTTCATCAAAGAGGATTCTGATTAGTCACAGATGAAATGCTGTTCTTAATTTCTTACTTTAAAAGTTGTAGGTAAATCTTCATCTTCTGCAGGATCTATGTCAAACCAATGATCATTTGTATCTCCTATTTCTTGTAAGCTTTTATGAAATTCTAGCAGTCCTCCATTATATCTGTAAGGCATTTATTTTAAAATAAGGTTAGTTTGAATGGGACTTTAACTAGATAGTTTACCAATAAGACAATGAGCAACTCTTTTTTTTTTTTTTTTTTTTTTTTTTTTTTTTTTTTTTTTTTTTTTTTGGTGGTAAGTAGGGTGATGATAACCTCTGGCATGCTATAGAAATACAAATACTAGGACTCTCACCTGTGGTAGATTGGGATGAAATACAGGTGGAAGGGGAGGCAATAGATTATGTAGTAGCTCAAGCTTGAACAGTATGGGGGCCTTGGTAATTAAAGGGATTGTAGAGTTGGTTGGCTTTTGTCTACTGTCTTGGAAGCCTTGAAGAAAGAGAATGACAGTCACAGGTCAGCCAACTGTTGACTCAGGGCACACTGTGAAAGACAGAGGACTCTATGGCAGCATTTAAAGAGACTCTCTCCTGCAGCCATAAAGATAATATGTGCTGAAAATCAGGCCAGATTTAGTCACAAGGTGAAACAAACTGCAAAAGAGACCAAATGTACCTCCTTGACAGGACTATTACCAATTCAGGACACCCTGTGAAAGCTAAAAGGCCTCTACGGTAACATTTAAAGAACCCTTACCAACTCTAATAAGGGCAAACTGTGCTGAAAATGAGGCCCAGTATTTAATCATAAGATTAAAACAGCAGCAAAAACTAAAAACACTGCCTCAGTGGATTATGCTAAAATCAGGGCTCTGATCAGGGAGAAAGTAGACCCTGAGGTCTGAAATGGAGACATTTAAGTAAAACCCTTAAATTGCCTTCAACCCTCTGGCTGACAAGGAGTATCAGAATCCCTTTACTGACCAAGTATCATCTGAGGTTCATATCTCAAAAGATGATGCCCTTCCTTCTCAAGATCCTCTCCCATCTGTGCTTACTGCCCATAGAGCAATAACTCTAGGGTCAGGTATAAACAGAGCCCATATAAGAAAACAGAGTTCCTGCCCTGAAAGAAAAAGCTTAGTCAGCCTAAGAATTGCAGAACTTGACCAGTATGTACTGGCAGAAACATATGTGGGAGTGGATCTTAAGAGTGTTGACCCAATAGACAAATATACAACTGGATAGAGAAGTGTATGTTGATATGGGAGGACTCTTCCACAATTCAAGATTTACTTTCCTAGCTAGGACACCTGAGACACCATGCTGCTGAGAAGGCTACTTGAAGCTTGGATCCAACATTGACCTATAGTAATTAAGGTGGAAATGCAGGAAATTTGAAGGCAGAGTATTAAAGAAAGTTCAAGGAGGTAAGGATATTATAATGGACTTACTACCTAAGACCAGAGAAGCCACCACTAAACACAGTTCCCTGGAAAGGCACAGAGGACACTCTAACTATTAAAGCAGTGTTTTCAGGCAGTTCAGTGGTGGTTGTTCTCTATAGGCCAGGGATGAAAGTCAATGATGCTGTCATGTGACTGGGGTTTCTAGTTATCTGTGATATGGAAAGCAGATTCTCTCCAACACCCATCAGTAAAGAGACTAAAGAATAGTTCACACATCTGGGGGAAGGACAGCAATATACATTCTCTGTCTTGTCTCACAGCTATGAGAATTCTCTCTACAATATAAAGAGATTTTGATCATCCTAAAATTCTGCAAAACATCACACCAGTCCACTATATTGATGACATCATGTTAGTAAATGGGAAGCAGGAAGTCTTCTGGGTACCCCAGTGAAAAACAAGCATGCCAGAGGATAGACGATAAACCTTACAAAAGAATCAGGTAACTACCACAGAGATGACTCTTCTAGGAATCCCATGGTTGGACACAGCAGTAATACTGCATAAGGATTTAAACTGCCTAATTCATCTTTCAAATCTCAAACATTATTTCCTCAAGAAGACTTCTGATTCCCATAACTAGACTGGGGGCCCAATAAAAACGTTAATTATTCACTGTATTTTCCTTCATAGCTCTTTATTATATTTCCAAATTAATTAGTTGTATAACTGATTATTTGATTAAGGTCTACAAGATTCACTATAATGTCAGTTACATGAAGATAGGAACTGTTTTGCACATCATCGTATCCCCAATGCTATCTAGAGATGCTAGCACAGTCTCTAGAATATGATACATTCTTAGCAAATAAAATTAATGAATTATGCTACAAATGGCTAAGGGTACAAATAAGGAAACAATCCATATCGGTTCCCCCATACAATTTCACTAAACATATAATCCCCAATGTTCCCCAAACATAGCATCTGGACTCTTTCAATGCTTTAAAAGCTCATTTATACCTTAAACACCTATTCAACTGGTGATAGTATTAATAACTACAACCAGCATTTATTTATTAAGCCTACCATTTTTGTGTTCTTAGCACTAATTTTTTTTTTAAATTTTTTTTTTTAACGTTTTTATTTATTTTTGGGACAGAGAGAGACAGAGCATGAACGGGGGAGGGGCAGAGAGAGAGGGAGACACAGAATCGGAAACAGGCTCCAGGCTCTGAGCCGTCAGCCCAGAGCCTGACGCGGGGCTCGAACTCACGGACCGCGAGATCGTGACCTGGCTGAAGTCGGACACTTAACCGACTGCGCCACCCAGGCGCCCCAGCACTAATTTTTTTTTAAAGTTTATTTATTTATTTTGAAAGAGAGAGAGAGAGAAAGAGAGTGAGAGAGAGAGAGAGAGAGAAAGTGAGAGAGAGAATCCCAAGCAGGCCCCATCTGTTACCATGGAGCCCAATGCAGGGCTTGATCTCACAAACTGTGAAATCATAACCTGATCTGAAATCAAGAATCTAACGCTTAACTGACTGAGCCACCCAGATGCCCGAGCACTGAATCATTTGCAACATCCCTATAAGGTTGGCACTATTATTAGTTCCATTTTATAGATAAAAAAACATAAGGCTGAAAAAAAAAAAAAGATAAGGCTGAGCAACACTACATTCCTTAGTCATTGATTAGATACATAGTAGAAAATGGATTTAAACCCAGTTCTGTCAGATTCCAAAGCCTATGGTCCCTAATGTCTTTGCTACACTGACTTTTACTGCCATGATCTGTTAGATTTGATATTTAATATTCTCAAATACATTAAAGAAATTATTTCTATAGGAACAGGTGAAGAAGACCCAGAAGAACACAAATGTCATCATACCTAGTATAGTGCAAAAACTATCCATGTCACAATGCTAAAAGTTGAAAGACAAGATTTACCCATTTATTAAAACTCTTACCTCTTCTGGGCACATCGAAGCAAACCACGTCCAAAATAAACTAAAGACATAAAGTTTTCACAAATTTCATTTTCTTGGATCACCATCTTCATCACTAGAAATTTATTCTCTGCTTCTGTATAATCCTGTAGTAACATAAAACTAGGTTTGGCTGATGTAAAAAGCATTTTTTTTTTCTATTACAAGAATTATTTTCCAAACTGGAGAAATTAGGGCAGCTTTAATATTGATCCAGTCATGCAGTCATTTATTCACATCTCTAATCCTAGCATCACTGTATGTGATCATATAGATAATATATTCAGTGATTAAAATACCTATTCACAAAAGAACTTAAGATCTTCCCTAGCCAACATTTCAAAATGAACATTTAGAGAATTTCTTTTTTTTTTAATATATGAAATTTATTGTCAAATTGGTTTCCATACAACACCCAGTGCTCATCCCAAAAGATGCCCTCTTCAATGCCCATCACCTACCCTTCCCTCCCTCCCACCCCCCCATCAACCCTCAGTTTGTTCTCAGTTTTTAAGAGTTAGAGAATTTCTAAAATCAACATTTTGTTAAAATCAAGTCATCGTATGTGAAAACACTTACAATGGGCAATAATACATACTACATACCTCTTTCTTTCCTCTTTCAGTGAGTGCTACTCCATACAAAAATAATAATGTCAGATAATAACCAATATTAATCTGATGTGCCTAAAAAGAAAAAAAATTAATTGGCTCTTTAGACGAAAATAGTTTTTAGTATAGTAAGTTTAATTAAATATCCTAGGCTACTCAGTAATTATTAAAAAGAGTAAAAATTATCATATTATCGATCATCTACTAAGAGAAATAGCAAATACACTAGATGTATTTGATAATTCAACCCTGAAGAAGAAAGAGGATAATTGATAATCTCAAAATAAAACACTAGAGTGTGATTAAAGAAAATGAAAGCCATCAGGATTTATTGTCTCCTTCCCCCTCCTGCCCCCACATGCTACAAATGGCTAAGGATCTCCATACAGATGTAGCAGTGAGTACAACTACATTCTGAGTCCCTGAAGTCCTTCAAAACAGGAGGGTGGTCTTAGAGACTCCGGACACAACACCCACTGTACCAATGCCAACTTCCTGGTTTTGATAATATATACTGTTATGTAACATCTAACTATTGGGGAAAACTGAATGAAAGGTATTCAAAAACCTTTCTGCACTTCTGTATTATACAGCTATATTTTTGCAACTTCTGTGCATCTAAAGTTACCTCAAATAAAAAGTTTAAACATTGTCCATGGAAAACGATATTGTACATTCTGTTCGTAAGCTCTCTATTGACTTAAGATCATAACCCTGTCTTTTGTCACATTAGCTTTTTACAAGACTGTCCCATAAACAAGATCTTTTGCAGGTACATAGGGATGATAAGCATCTGCAGGACAGAAGTCTTTTTCTTTACTGATCTAACTGTATTCTCTTACTTAGCATATTTCTCATGGCCAACAGTACACATTTATGAGGTAACTGGCTAGTGTTAGAATTTGGCTTCAAATTAATCTCAGGGAAAATAGACGTGCATGTTTGCGCTCAATGGACCAAGTGAGTTTGTGTTCACACACCGGTTTCCATCTTAAAATTTCCATTTCTGCAGAGGAGGTAAAATGCAGTTCAGAGAATGGACTCTAAAGCCAAGACTACATGGATTTGTATCCTGACTCTACTACTTACTACCTGCTGAATTAAGCAAGTTGTTCAACCTCTTTGCTTCAGTTTCTAATCTATAAAATGGGAATAATGGTGGAGGGATGGTGGTTATGAAGAGCAAATGAGCTAATCCTTACAAAAAGTGCTTAGAACAGTGTCTGTCATATAGCAAACACTAAATAAGTGTAAGCTATTATTTTATAGCTTTAAAAAAATTGGTTTCACAAATAAATACAACAGAGCCTTTGGCTCACACAAGTCTAAAAAGAACATTTTGAGAACAGGATAAGATGTGGAATTGTGGTAATGCTATAATCATAAATAAAAGGTAAAGAACTCAGGAATTTACAGATGTAAGTGGTAGGTTTCTGACCTACATGACTCTGCCCTTCCCTTCCTACGATCCCCACCACTATTAGCAGGGATTATTCTAAGTACTGGAACTCAATGGATATAGAGATATTATTGGCAACTGTCCCCTGCCCTCACCCCACTGCCACCTCCTACCAAGTTGCTCCACCTATCCTTGGTGGCCTTGGTAGCCTTGAGGAACAGTGAGAGCTACAGGATACAGCAGTAGGCTGCTCTGATCATGACGATTCCAATTCTGCTCAACAATGCTACCAGGAGAGGGATCTCTTCCATTTCTTAACGTAAGACTCATCATTGAAATAATGCCTAAGTACAGTAGGCTAAGCAATCAGCATCTGTTAATGCTCATTTATTTCACTTCCTGGCAACCTGGTCAGTGGGAGAAACAGCACATCTTCAGCATCCCAGAAGTTCTTGCTGAATACTTGTTAATACAAACTCCATTTTGTTGGCTCTTTTGACTCCATGTACAATTCCTTTAGGGTGGTATGTATCACCACTTAGAACCCCCATCCCGAGAGTCCTAAATAAAGATGATTTCTCCACATCTTTATAATATGGGATTTGGTGTCTTTGGGTACCTTCGTTGGTACCTGGGTGGTCCTTTCTTGACAGTAACTCTAATCCATCTTCTACATATGTACAAAATTTAGTTTACTGATCCAAATTATTCAAGCAACTGATTTTTCCTTGTACTGTCCTATACTATTGGTTCTGATTTTTTTTTTAAGGTTTATTCATTTTTCAGAGACAGAGAGAGAGAGAGTGTGAGCAGGGCATGGGCAGAGAGGGAGACACAGAATCTGAAACAGGCTCCAGGCTCTGAGCTGTCAGCACAGAGCCTGACGCAGGGCCTGAACTCACAGACGGCGAGATCATGACCTGCACTAAAGTCGGACACTTAACAGAGTGAGCCACCCAGGCGCCCCATATTGGTTCTGATTTTTGATGCCAGGTTTATTCTTCCTCAGATTTTCTATTTACTTCTAACATACAAATATATCTTGTTAATTTTATCTCTCATGAGTACTCAATAACAGATGACAGAAGTTCCAATTTTTACAAATATAGTTACCAGAAGAGGAGCTGATTAATAACTAGGAGGAAAGCAAGTAGTAGTTTCTCAAGTTTATAACTATTTCAATTGGGAAAGTCCAATTTTACTATTTATTGAAGTTTCTCTTTATTGAAGATGAACAATTTTATGGTAAGGAAGGGACTAGATTAGGCTTATTATGGACATGCAGTCATCAAAAAGTACAAGACACAGGAAGGAAATAAATTTATGCATACTTTTTCTCAAGAGGTAAAAGGAAAATACAAACTGGTCTACACCTTAAAACAAGCATGCATTGGCTACCCTCTCATTGAGAAATGTTGTCCAAACCCATTATTTCAAACTTTCAAAAGAAAACACTTACAGTATAATTAGTAGCCTGAACATTCCTAAGTGCTGCTTCCAGTTGTGTTATCAAGAAACGTAAAGTTAAAACAGGAACAATTTCCTCCCCATTCTGACTGTTAGCTGCAACTTCTCTCTGTGGAAAATAATTTGGTCCAAAATTTAAGTTAAAGCAAATATCTACACTTATTTTTATTATACAAATAAAACATGCTCGTTGTAGAAAATCTGGAGAGGATTTAAAGAAAAAATCCACACCAGCGAGATACAATTGTTTTCTTGTTTATTTTTCAGTCTGACAAATCTTCTCTGTAACTATTTCCTCAAAACACTTAAAAAGCATTCCTAAGCCTGCTGAGGGGTTGGCCACCACCACTTCTATTAGTAATCCCAGTTTATTCTCATACCTTCTATCCTCTAAGCATAGCTAAAATCTTCCTTCCAGCCCTGACCCTGCAGTAAGCAGGAATGCTTGGCATTAATACCAACATGAGGGCAAGGCATCTTAAGCTACGATCTGATTGGAACCAAGCTAATATATGACTTCTATCACAGTTTGTTACTGCCATGGATGAAATGAAAAGGAGGACTGTGTGTTATCTTTGCATCCATTTCCCAAGCCTTGTACCTACAAGTGCTTGGCTTAAATTCCATTACCTGTTTAATGATATATTATCTGTGTGGAAAATTTAACCTACACTTTCTTAACTTGGTTTCTAGTATACGATACTGCTCCGTTTTTCTCCTAGATAACTAGAGACTTTATTTCCGTCTCTCTAGCACTCAATTTAATGAACGTCTTCCCCATCATCACATACATTCCCTAAAGTAATCCACTGTCATGTTTTTAAGTAGTGTCTACATACTGACAGTTTGCAAGTTTATATTTCCAGCTCAGAACCATCCCCTTAATTCCAGACTCATATATCCAACCAGTCACTCAACACTAGCTCTTGAATTTGAGTAGGCATATAAAACCTAACACTGAAGTTCCACCTCCTTTAGAACTAAAAAAGCTGGAAAAAATGTAAAAGCCATTTTTTGAAAGCAACAGAAAGCTATGAAGGCATTGAAAATCTCTGGAGCCAACATTCAGACATGAGACTGACTTTTGGAGCCACTTTTCTCCATAAGGCAATTGACATTTTCGCCTAACATGTTAGCCACAGCTTTTAGCCAACTTACAAAGCTGGGGGAAAAAACAGAGTGTATGACCTATCAAGGATGAGGGACCCTGGTAAACACCTCATCCTTTGGTGCAGACCCTGAAGAAATATACCCTTAAAGTAAGAGTGTCTGTTTTTGTTCCAGTTTGAATTTAAGTAGTTTATTTGGGAGGTTCAGAGAACAATGGTGGAGAATAGAGATGTGGTGCAGGGAAGGAAAAACAAGCTTTAAATTAATGGGTGAGTTATTAAGTTAGTTACCCACAGTGGGAAGCTGGGGTTAATAGAACAGAGAGACTCTGTAAACCAGTGAAAAAATACAAGCTGCAGTATTATTCAACTCAAGGGGAGAGAAAACTGGAATATTTGCAGAACTCCCAAGGCTTATTGAGTGGTGATGGGGTGACATGAGAATATTAATTCCTTGGGATTTCTGAACTGCCATGAGTACAGCCTTCTGTAGTTTCAGGGGGAAAAAAAAAAAAAAAAAAACCTTGAGGCATAGACACATGGAAAACTGGAGATTGTCCAGAGCATACTGAAATAAGAGTCCAAGGGGCCAGGAGTTATGTGCAGGACACTCACAGTATCTACTACAAAAGGTAAAACATAAATAGACCCTTCTTCACAGAACAGAAGCTTGGAAACATCTCAATCCCTAGTTGAATGAAGTGATCTGCCAGAAAAGCACAAACAAGCATTACTAAGGGAAGATTTTGTCCAGTTTTTCTAGTTGCTCTAAATCAACTCTAGCAGCCACTGCAGGTGGCAGAATTCTCTATCTTCCTTTAGATGACTGTGGAATTAGTTTTGATGTTTTCATGTTCATTCATGATTTAAGTTATTTTTGCCTTTTTCTTAAGATTTTTAGCAGGGGGCTATCAATTTTACTGATCTTTAAAAGAAAACCAAGTTTTGGCTTTATTGACTTTCTTTTTTTTATTCTATTTCAATAAACTTAGATATCTTTATTACTTCCTTCTTTTGACTTTGTTTTTAATTTACCGTTCTTCCATTAATCTCCTGAATTTTATGTTTAGATGACTGATATTCAACCTTGCTTCATTTTCTAATACATGTATTTCAAATTATAAGTATTCCTTGAAACACATATTTTACTTATAACACAAGTTTTGATATACATTTTTTATTCAGTTCAAAAATTTACCTAATTTCCATTGTGATTTCTGACCCATGGGTTACTCTTAAGAACAATGATTTTTTAGTTAATCTTTCTGTATTGATTTATAAGTGAATTGTACAGTAGTTTGAGAATATGCTCTATATATTGTGATTCTTTGGTGAGACTTGCTTTGTGACTAACACATGGTCAATTTTTGTAAATGCACTTAAAAAGTATGTATGTTCTGCCACTGTTGGGTATCGTGTTTCATGTTTTGTGTGTGTGTGTGTGTGTGTGTGTGTGTGTGTGTGTCAATTAGATCAACTTTGCTATCATTCTACCTATTTTGTGTCCATGTTCTATCAGTTATTAAGAGAGTCATGTTAAAATCTACTGGGATTATTAATTTGTCCAGTTCCCATTCAATATTATCAATTTACTCACCTTCTCATATGTAACAGTTCTGTATGTATTTGAGTCTGCCTCTGGAATTTCTCTTCTATTTTCTAGACTTGTCCACTGAATCAGGAGCAAGTAATACAATGTTGTACTTATGAGAGCTTCACATTAAGTTCCAATATCTAAGTGGGCAAATTCCCTGCCTGTCTCCCCTACACTTTTCTAATTTTCTTGGCTATTTTTCCTTTTATTTCCCATCTGAACTTTAGAATTAGCTTTCAGTAATAACAAAACCAAAAACAACATACTTTGTCATTTTTATTGGAATTATGTGAGATACAGACAGCTTTATCACATTGTGTCTTCTTACATGTATTGCTTTTCATTTGGTCTTTTTTTCTTACCTTTATTAGAATTTTATAAATCTCTATTTAGTTTTAATATAAAGTATTGATTTCTAAACTTAATGTGAAAAAAATCAATGTGTAGATACTTGCCAAAATGCAGATTCCCAGACCTACCCCCAGAGATTTTGATTCTTTAGGACTTTAGTATGGGGTTCAGATAGTCTCATGTAGGTGGTATAGGAAAAATTTTGAGAAATACTAGTTTATATCTTATGTATTTCTTGAGTGTTTTCCTAGGTATTTTCCCTTTTTTATTGCTATTATAAATAAGTACTCTTTCATCTATATCTTCTAATTGGCTGTTGTTTGCATATAGAAAGGCTACTGATTGTTGTTTCTGGGTGATTTCCAACAGATAAGAGGAAAACAGTGGCATAATTCCATCAGTTTCAAACCAGAATTCATACTGGAAAATTATCTCAGTTAAGGTTATAATTGTATGTAGTCTTTGGATATTTGTAGACCTTGTTTGAATTGTTAATCAAAACAGTATTGATTTGTTTCATGGAAATAATTAATAATGTATTCTTCCACAGAAAAGGCAACCGTGGAATTGCCCCAATTAAAGGCTACAAAGAAATGAGTAGAACATTTTCTTTAACTTTGAAAAACTCCATTCATTTAGGAACTGATATCCATCTTATGCTGAAAGTTTCACAAATTATCTAAAAAAACTATTTCCAAAATGAAAATCTACAGTATATTCTCTATAGTATTTATTTTATTCATAAATAAAACGTTTAGGACATTATTTGTCTTCATCTTACATTCTTGAAAAAGTTGTTAACGTTCTACAAATTAGGAAAACTGAAAGCAATTCCCTGTCCCAGGATGGCATGTTATGGGTTACTGGTAGAATAAAAATAAACACTAGACCTCACAGTCAATGGCTTACTGGCTACTAACCCATATTCCCACCATTATTCTTGAAAGGCTAGCACCAACTAAATTATTTCATTAATAAAAGTCTGTAAGTCAAGGCCCTTCGCAAAAAGTAAGATGAAGATTTCAAGACTTTAGCTACACTATTGTGAGAAAGAAAGGAGGGAGGAAAAGAGTCACCGTGAAGTAATAAGAAATACATACATGATTTCTGCTCCTAGTTCCTGATAATTTCTGGTCTTTGACTCTGGGTCCTGACACAGAGCTCCTAAAGCCCTTGGAATTTCCTAGGTGATAGGCGTATCTTTTGTTCTAATGAGATGACACTCAGCAGGCTCCTGGATAGGGCTGGTCACCAGAAACACCAAGCCATGATTAGAAGCTTGAAGCTTTTAGCCCTATCCCCCATTCCCAGAGGGAGAGGGGCTGGGCACTGAATTAGTAATTATCAATGATGATATGATATGATAAAGCCTCCATAAAAATCCTGGAAGTATAGGGTTCAAAGAACTTCCAGCTTGGCGAACACATCCACATGCCAGGGGAGCAGTGGCACATCCCAACTCCACAGAGGTAGATGCTCCTCTACTTGGAACCCTTCCAGACCTTGCCGTATATATCTCTTCATTTGGCTCTTCATCTAAATCCTTTATCATAGCCTTTATTATATAATAAATTGGTAAACATTAAGTGTTTGCTAGCTATACTAGCAAATTGTGGGACCCAAAAGGGGTCATGGGAGCCCCAATCTATAGCCAGTTGGTCTAGAAGTATTAGAGACAACCTAGGACATGTGACTGGTGTCTGAATTGGGGCAGATTTGTGGGACTGGGACTGAGCCCTTAACTTGTGGGATCTGATACTAACTCTAGGTAGATAGTGTTAGAATTGAATTGACTTGTAGGATGACTAGTTAGTATAGGAGAATTGGTGTGGGAATAAATCCACACATCTAGTGTCAAAAGTGCTGTAAGGGTAGTAGCAGTGTGAGAGTAAAGGAAAATAGTATGTTTTCCCTGGAGAGTCCTATACAAAGAGTTGCACTTCTGTCTCAAAGAACAAATTATAATCTTACCTGCATGATTTGGAAGGAAAAATTTTCTTGTAAGAACTTCTTAATGTGAGGGACCACACCTTTTGGTAGAGTATTAATTGCATTCAATAACTTCTTCATCTCTACTAGTAGGTTAACAGAGACAAGATCGGTAGGTGTGTCCTTTTCCTGTTTATCCTAGAAGACATTATTAATTAAAACTTTCCATAATTATACATGTTCATATTACTCTAATATTAAGACCAAATATTTTTAAAAAGTACCTTTACATACTATATGTAGATCACTGTGACAGACCTATAGAAAATCCAAGTAAGAATAAGACATTCTCTCTGCTTTCAAGGAACTTAAAACATAACAGGAAATTTAAGACCAAAACTAAGGAAGCTTTAATATATTCATTTAATACATTAATTTAATACATTCATCATAAATTCATTTGAAAATTATAAATGAAAGTAGATATTTTAAGATGTGAAAATTATACTATTTTTTATAGAGTAGTGAATTAGAAAACATCATACTTATAAACAAAGTAGTAAAATAGAATGACTCAATTCAGTCTGAACTGAGTAAGTCATAATAATCTTGGGTCTACAGGAACTCATTCTTACAAATTAATGAAGCCATAATTAATGGTTAATCAATAGCTATACAGTCAAGTCCTGCTGGATTATTTATTAACATTAGTTGTGAGGAATGAGTGGGCGACAGAAAGGGAGAGGTGCCTGGATGATGGCCTTCCTTCAAATCTTAACATGATACCTCAGTTCCCATACACTGTTTAAACTTAGGGAATATGAATATGTTGTTGCTGACCTCTGATAATCAGAACAGACAGTTTCTTACTAAAGAGGCCATGCAAAACTTGAGTCACTGAAATGCCCTGGTGGGGGTGATTCCTTGACCATCAGGTCTCCAACAGACTAAAATTACCCAGGAAAGTGACTAGGAATCAGTAAAGTCCACAATAGAGTACTATCTGCCTACTCTCCCCTTCTGGATTTGAGTCTTAAATTAAGATTCCTCCATTCCCATCAATACCCAACAAATAATCTTACATTTTATAATATTTCATTGTATGAAAATTTTATCCAAAAATGAAGGAAAATGTTAGCAGTTTGCTACATCTCAGTGAAGGGTATATAAGTATCCTTTGTATTATTTTGCAACTTTTCTGTAGGTTTGATATTTTTCAAAAAGTTCAAAAAAACAAAAACAAAACTTCCACAATAGATAGACCCTTAAAAAGAATAACCACTGTTAGTACTGCACACATTTCAAACTAAAGGTCAATTCTGCAGTCAAAAAACACCACAAACTCATCTTATACTAATTACCAAATTGATAAGCAAGATTATGGCATGAATAAAAATTTTTAATAGGGCATACTATAAGCTTCACGCTTATTAAGTATTTTTATCTATAAATATGATTTCAGTTAGTTGTTATAAATTATATAAATTCCATCTTTTAAGTCAGATATCAAAATATTTGATGCTCAAATCATTTTTGTAAAATTAATTTAGCCTCTAAACCAAATTCAGGTCAAAGTTTCTACTGCATTTGATTTCTGTATTTCCAGTTCTGTAGTTAGAAAAATATATTCTGGATCTAATCTCCCTGGTTCAAGTATATTTCCCTATGTACATCTGCATATATTGTATTTTTTTCTGCAACAGCTTTGATAGCGATAACCTCATGCAGGTGAATAATATGATTATTTTATGTTTATATTTTCTCTTCCTATATTACTTGATAATCTTATAAGCTTTGTTAACAGTGCACATCAATAATCATATATAACTATGTATGGTTAAAATTGCACTAAAAGGAACCAAATAGCTCTTCATCCAACCTTAGTTAAATATAAGCACATGTGATATTTATGTATGTGTGTGGATGTGTGCTTTTATATATATATGTGTGTATACATATATATGTCTTTTTTAAACTACGACAAAATTTATTGTCATTGCCAATATAAGCCATATATTAATGTATACTTCAGTTATTCTCTTTCATTTTGAACTGGAAGTTCTAACAGTAAAGATAAAAACAGGAAAGAGAATTTCAAAACAACTCTGAAATGCCTTACTAAATAAAATTCTGTGTGTGTGTTTTCTCTTCATGTGTATAGTTTTTATTTTATTTGGATTTTGCTTTTAAAAGACAAATAAGAGATTCTTAAAATTGATTGTTGGGATGTTCTGGGAAAGTCAATTCAATCACCTACTAATTTTAACTTCTAGTTAGAATTGGTGCTTATAATAACTTTGAGACACACATATCAATTATCAGAGAGCTTTCATTATGACCGTACTTTTACTTATAAAGGAAGGAAAGTAGACTCACCCCCAAATTTTTAACAAATATTTTAACTGACTAGATTTAGAATTATGCTGTCATACCTAATTAATCATTACTAATTAACAATGAGAATTAAATCTTCTCTTACCAGTTGATCAGTTGATTTTTCTACCTTATTCTTGATGTCCTCCTTAATCTGCCCCTCCACAGGAGGATCCCTACTTTAAATGAAAAATAAAGGTGTATTCAGAGGGTCTCCTTACAAAGAACACAATTAAACTGCAGTAGTAAAGAATCTAACAAGTGAATTTGTCTGAAAGTTCAAAAGTGTAAACAATGTATAGCAAAGACTGATAATAGTGGTAGTTGTCACATCTTTTAGGGACTCAAGCTAAAGAAAAAAATTATGTTGTCCCTTACTAGATGGTGGCAAACAGAACTGAAGGCTGATGTAAAAAGCTTTTCTTGAATAGACACACAATAGACCAAAATAATGGGGAAATTTAAACTTTATAGCACTGCTTCAGTATAAAGAAAAAAGGATCTTAAGAAGCCTCATGTTGTGTGTGTGTGTATGTGCATGCATTTATTAAGATAATAAAGGTTTGGAAAGGATCTATCTTATGTAGATCCTTTTATATTTTGTTTCAGGTTCCTGGTATTATAGTCATCCAGTTTTCCAAAATAATTTTTTAAAATTGAGGGAGAATATCATATTTAAAAACCAACTATTTTTGTAAAAAGGAGTAACTTGACAAGTTTTGCTTCTGGCATTGGTTTAAAATGTGAACATATATGGTGTTACATACAGAACTGAAAAAATTTATTGCTTTTGCCTACATACAGAACCATGATATTGGGCCCATAAGAATTCTATACACTAGCAGAGATAAAACTGAGGTGAGAAACATATCAATTCATTTACTCAGCATTATACTTTATAAAAATTATCCCATTTTACTTCACATTTATGTATTCATTTCATAGACAATCATTTATCATCTTCCACTATGCCAACAGATTTTGTCAGGGGAAACTGGGACAGATAAACAGTACAGTATTATCCACATAGTGACAGTTTCAACAAAAGATGATTTATACACACAAACGATACTTCACAAGATGGTTCTCAGTGCTCTTTAAAATGTCATCGCAAAGAAAAACCTCTTAACTATCTTTTTATCCACTTCTAAGCCCCACTCCAAAAAGGACATAAGGAATTTTCTTGTGTTGTCAAGGAATAAGAAATAGTGCGCCAGTATTCTGAAGCCTCTCAATTTTTGTAGAAGAGTACATAAAGTTCTCAAATGCATACCCTACTTGCTAACTCCATTTCATGGAGTTCAAGCCAACAGTTCTCAGTCTCACATGCTTATTAAAATCACCTGTGAAGCTTTTGAACACCCTGATGTCCAAACCCTACTTCAGAGCTTCTTAATCCAAAGTGTAGGATGTGGGCTGCTATATTCACCAGTTTTCCTAACAAATTTGGTATGTAAGCTTAACTAATCCTCACTCCCTCCCCAATATTAAAATGGCTCTATTAAAGGTTACTAATGAAATCCTGCTTGTTATGTCAACAGATTTGTCTTAGTTCTTCATTCTACCTAGCCTTTCTGCATTATTTAACATTGCCCATCATACCCTCCAACCTCCTGTGGAAACTTCTGCATTCTTTGTGGCTGCTGGTTCTCCTCCTAGCTCTCTACTCCTCAGTTTGTACCACTGACTACCCCTCTTCCTCTCATTCATCTTATTCGTTTATTATTAATAATACTTAATACAGAACAATATACATTAACAGAATCAAACCATGCTCCTGATATATTAGAAAAGGAAGGTACATCAACAGTCCCTACGGCAGTCACTTTAAGATGGGTAATTTGATGTCCAGAGAGGTTATATACCTAGAAAGTAGCAAAGCTGGAACTAGAGTTTAGCCAGAGTATAGTACTTAAGAGAAATTTCCTGAAATTAGATTTCCCCCCATCTACATCCCCCACTAATCAAAGTTGCTAAACTGTCTTGAAGCATAAAGGTGTCTCATCAATACTAGCTTCCCAAGATTATATGGAAAGGACAAATGTTGTGTCTTCAAATGCAACAAACATGGTTGGTTTTTGTCAACCTATCCCTTACCTCATAAAAAACTGTTCTGGTAGAGAATCCATGCTGCAGACTATGTTTTGCAAAAGTCTTATTCAAATGCTTACAGACTTTTACTACTGATGTTTAAAGCTGCAAGAAAAGTAATATTTTTAATGGTCAAGTAGAAGGATTACATTCTTTTCCCCCACTATAAAAATATATATGATCATTAAAGAAATAGTTGGAATAGTTGAAATAGTTGTAAAAGAAAATGAAAATTACATAGTTTGACCATCCAAAGTCACTACCTACATTTTAATATTTTACTTTTTCCAGCATACATATATTTTACCAACTTGTAATCATACTGGATAAATGTTCTACATTATGGTTTTCACCACTGAGCACTATATCAAAAGCATCTTTCATGTGATATTATACTCCTAGTATGTATTCTCAATGGTTACACAAGAATTGGCTGACTGGGGTTTCCTAGACCATTAATTTATAGATGGACATTTAGATTGTTTCCTATTTTACCTTTATGATTATTCTAAGAAATTCTCATAAGTAGAATTTCTCAGTCAAAAGACAAATATTTTAAGCCTCTTGGTGCATACTGCTAAATGACTTCCCCAGAAGTTTATGCTAATTTATTTTCCACAGAGTACATGAGTTTCTGTTTAATGCAATCTTCATTAACACTAATTGTTTTGTTTTCTTTATTCTAAAGGTAACATTTAGCCACCTTCCCCCAAAATCATGATTCTATGTCTTCATAAAATAGGAAAGGTGAGATGTACACTCTCTGGTTCAAATATCAATGAATGTCGTGGATGTTACCTGAAAGAAAAAAAAAAACTGCCACCACACAAATGAAAATAAAAAGAATATCCATTTGTACATCTATTTATATAACTCTCTATTCAATTATTCCAAGAGTAACTCTTCTAAAATTAGTCACATTTACACCCAGATGTTTATAGCAGCACTACCTACAGTAGCCAAATTATGGAAGCAGCCTAAGTGTCCATTGAGAGATGAATGGATAAAGAAGAGGTGGTATTTGTATACAAGGGAATATTATTCATCCATAAAAGAGAATGAAATCCTACCATCTGCAATGACATGGATGGAGCTAGAGAGTATTATGCCAAGAGAAAGGCAAATACCACATGACTTCACTCAAATGTGGAATTTAAGAAATAGATGAGCAAAGGAAAAAAAGAGAGACAAACCAAGAAACAGACTCTTAATTACAGAGAACTGATGGTTACCAGAGGGGAGGTAGGTAGGGTTACGTAGGTGATGAGGATTAAGGAGTGCACGTGTTGTGATGAGCACCAGGTGATGTATGGAATTGCTGAATCACTATACTGTACACCTGAAATAGAACATTATATATTAACTAGAACTAACAAAACAAAACAAAACAAACCCCACTAATAGCATGTGTAATATACAGCCGTAAGTTAGATCAGCAGAACTTTTGAAGGCCCATTATTAAAATGCAGTTCAGCATAGGTAATTCGCAAATAAAGAAAACATGTTCCACAAGATCATTTGCAAGTCACCTATTCATTCAGATTGTATTTACTCAAAGAAACACTATTTTACATGATACTGACTCTCCCTTAGAAGCCAGAAAAAGCCAACCAAACATGTAGAAAAGAAGTAACGGCTGGACCTGAACCTTCATAAGCCTTGAGGCCTGAGTATCCTGTCATTAGTGAGCTTAATAGGGAAGGGGGCAATTTGGTGCCTGACTAAAAGAAGTCCTGGGAGATCATCTGCAAAACTAATATTCCTAATTATGATACTGCCTGTAGATATTTTCTATATTTGACTCACACCAGCTCTAAGTTACAAAGGTAAGGGTAATTCTCTCAACAATCCAATGGATACTTCCTAATCAAAACACAAATGCAAACATTTACTCTCACACACACACACACACACACACACACACACACACACACCCATCTGATTTCTTCGTTTACTAACAAGTGTTGGCAAGGATGTGGACGCAAGGAACCCTCATACACTGTTGGTGGGAGTGTAAATTGGTGTAGCCACTGTGGAAAACAGTATGCAGGTTCTTCAAAAAATTAAAATTAGAAATGCCATATGACCCAATAATTCTAAGTATTTACTCAAAGAAATTAAAAACATTAATTTGAAAAGATCTTTGCACCCCTGCAGCATTATTTACAATAGCCAAGAAATGGAATCAATCCAAGTGTCCACCAATAGATGAATGGATACAGATGTGATATATATACATAAACACACTGAAATATTATTCAATATTTGAAAAGGACAAGATCATGCTATTTGTGACAACATGGGTGGATCTAGAGAGTATTAGCTAAATGAAATAAGTCATTATTTCATTCAAACAAATGAATAAACAAAAAACAGAATCAGACCTATAAATACAGAGAACTGATGGTTGCCAGAGGGAAGGGGATAAGACGCATGGGCAAAACGCATGAAGAGGAGTAGGAGATATAGGCTTCCAGTTATGGAATAAGTCACAGGAATAAAAGGCACAGCATAGAAATATAGTGAATAATACTATAATAACATATCATGACAGATGGCAGCTACGCTTGTGATGAGCATAGCATAACCTATAGACATAATGAATCATTATGTTATACACCTGAAACTAACATAACATTAAATGTAAACTATACTTTAAAAAAAAGGTTAAAAAATAAATTTCCTCATTTAAAAGACAGTTTTCTAACACCTCTTAGTTTCTTGCCCATCCCTAACAAAAATGTCTTACTGTCAGTATATCTCACCTATGCAGAATCCAGTTCTCCTAGATATTTTATAGTTTTATTCTTATTTTTAAAAACTCAGTAAGCAAATATGTCAATTTAAATTTGCATTCTTTGTTCAATACCAATGAAAGATCTAACCTAACACTAATGATGAAGAGGTTGTTATTCTCTCACACTAGATCAGATCTGTTTCATCTCTTCAATAAAGCTGTATAAAAAAGGACGTGGCTTTGGGAATTCTAGGACTGTGATCAAACTGCTTTTCTTTTATAGCTTCTATAACCTCCCTGCTCATTTTAATAAAAAGTTAGGCATTATCTCACAGATTATACAAAAGCACACCTTTTCTAGACAAAGCAGTCCCCCTCATTTCCAGAATTTAAAAGCCCAGACACAGATACCTCCCCCTCTGATAAGCTCTCCTTCAGTCAGTTGTTTGCACAGATCACAAGGCTGAAAAGGGAAGAAAGTCCTCTGGCAACAAGGTAGAGAAGATGGAAGGCCTCTGCTAAGCTATTCAGTGCTCAGCTTGAAAAAGAAAAGGATATAGTATTAATTAATAAATCAGAAGATATTTGGAGCCTGAATTAAGAATTAAGAAAAGCTAATGGCTTTTTTAGTCTGCTTAGAAATACAACCTGAGATGAATCTCTGTGGTGAAAGGTTTTCCAGGAGAATATCATCAACCCCATCATTTCCCCAGGAGCTAAGCAGATCATGTGTGGCAAACCCTACTGCAATAGCAGCAGCCGCGGTGACGGTGGCACTTTACAGCCTCTGCTGGGAAGGAAGGCGTAAGTGCCTAGCAACAGAAAGGAAGTAGCCAGCCCGAAACATTAACACACTGCTTCTAAAATAATCCAGAGGTTCTTACCATTCTAGAAGAGGCTGAAGGAAACCTTTAAAATCAGGGTTAACATGGGATAAAGGATGAATCTGGTTTCCCCCGGTGTGTTCATCTCAACAGGCTTTCCCTGTCAGCAAGAAACTAAAAATTTACCTCCCTTCCTGGAACTGAGGGATTGCTTGTCCACAGGAACCTATTCAGATGCTGGCTAATTGATCAGAGGGCAAGTTAAAGGTCAGTGTCAATTTCTAGCACACCTTTATCCACCAAGCAAAATGATCTTATCCACAGGCTGTTTTTTACCGGTCAAAAACAAAGTCCTGCCATCTTTATCCTTATCCAACAGTAAAATGCCTTTCTTACTGCTCCCTCTGAGCTTCCCAGCTCCCTCTTATCTACTGAAATTGTACCAAACTTTTTTTAATCGCAAAAGTATTCCACCTCCCCCTACTTTTAAAGGTGGCTTATTCACAACAAAGCAGGCACAGTTTTGTTTCTAATTGTTTAATCATTCATTCAAATGTTTACCTTACAGCACTTGTCACCTCAACATTATAAAAGCACACTGTTTTTTAAATCTACTCGAGTGCTCATCGTAAGTCATCTGACCAAGTTAGAGGCTCTAACTAGCCAAAAAGTTCACATTTCAGTGTGTGGGTAGATAGATGTCCCATGGATTTACTACTCTTGTCAGTTCTGGCCCTTACAGATCACACAATGCCAAATGGAAAAAGGGAGTTATCGTGTGCAAAAACATTAAAATTCAATTCATTTTTCTCAATGCTATTAGTTTGAAAACAAAATAATATAAGTTATTTTTCAAGAGAGAAATTCAGTTGTGAGAACTTCTCTTGTGCCCACTAAATCTGGGTTCCTCAATCTTGACACTATAGACATTTTAGGCTAGATGAAGCTTTGTTATGGGAAGATATACTCTGCATTTTAAGGATGTTTTGGAGCACCGCTAGCTTCTACCTCATAGGTGCCAAAAGCAACTCTCTCCCACCTCTCAGGTCCATTGTGAAAACCAAAAGTGTTTCCAAGCACTGCCAAATGTCCCCTGGGGGACAAAATGCCCCAGTTGAGAACCACCTAATGATTTAAAATGAAAAGAGCCTGGGTGGCTCAGTTGGTTAAGCGTCTATTGATTTCGGCTCAGGTCAAGATCCAACGGTTTGCGAGATAGAGCCCTGCGTCTGGCTCTGTGCTGACAGTGTGGAGCTTGCTTGGGATTCCTGGTTTCCCTTTCTCTCTGCCCCTCTCCCACTCTCTCTCTCAAAAATAAACAAACATTAAAAAAAAATACAAAGGTCGGGGCGCCTGGGTGGCGCAGTCGGTTAAGCGTCTGGCTTCAGCCAGGTCACGATCTCGCGGTCCGTGAGTTAGAGCCCCGCGTCAGGCTCTGGGCTGATGGCTCAGAGCCTGGAGCCTGTTTCCGATTCTA